AGGGAGGGAGTGCAGCTGGGGCAGGGGAAGGCGCTGCACAGCCGGGGCAGGGCACGGTGTGGGATGGAGCTGTAAGCAGCTCGTCTGGGGGGCAGACAGTGGCGGGGGGGGGGGCAGCTCCTGCTGCCACACACACTGTTGGAGGAGGCATGGGAGCCATGTGACCTCTGGATTTGTGCGTGGGAAAAGGTCAAGTTGCCTGCTGCACACTCGGGGCTGAAAGCTGTGCCGGTTTCTTCCTGGCAGAAGCAATGAGCTGGGGCTGTGCTCACAGTGGGCAGGAGTGGGGTGGGAAGTGGTGGCGCTGGGAGGAGGACTACAGGGGTACTACAGCAAATTATGGGGTTGCTGTAGCCCATCCGGTAGGTTCCCTCCCAGCTGCTACCTGCCCCACCCTGCCTGGAGAGAGCACATTTCCACCCCACCTCTCCTCCCCCCCCAGGAAGAGGCTGGCGCAGCCTGTGGCCCCAAGCAGGCACAGGATAGCCTGCTCTTGCCCCACACACAGATCTGGGGGGCACATGCCCCCTATGCCTCCCCCAAGGTGTGTGCAGTGGTGAGAGCCATCCCCCTTCACCTCCTGGATGAGCCCCCCATGGCTCTGTCTCACACCCTGCCCCAGACCAGGTGGGCAGCCCCTGCCCCAGCCACAGCCCCAGCCCCACTCCATCCCTCCCCATGGAGGCCTTGATCTGCTCCCACCACACCCCTCCCCCCAAAAAGACTTACCAGGTGGATGCTGCTCTCCAAGCTGCCAGGTTGCATATCAGCAATCGGATCGGTATTAGCCGATATAGCTGGTCAATAATCAGCCATTGGTATTGGTCCAAAAATCTTTATTGGTACTCCCCTACTAGGAAAGGTATGTTTATTTTTATATGGAAATTTAGCTTCTAATGCAATCATAAAACTGTACGAGAGCAGGGCTCTATACAGGTGTTTGCATAACGTATGTCTTAATCTAACCCTAGGAATGGGTGAATGTCTGAAGGTCTTGTAAGTGTTCAAACTGACAAACTCAATATAACCATGAGGACTAAAAGGGCAGAAAAGAAACCTAACTGCTAAAGAAACAGAATGTCCAGTGATTCAGACTGAGGGGCAACTGACAAACACGTCCTGTCAAGCCATCTTCTACATCTTGTGAATGCTCTCAGTGGAAGGATGTTAGCAAGATACTGTACTGGGGACATAGTGAACCCACGAACAGGAACTCTTTGGGGAAATTCTCAAAGGAGAATATGTAAGGCAGCTGCCTTAAATAATCCATCATCTAAATACAATGCATACTTTGTAATTTGAGAGCCTAAAATCCCACCTGTTCTACAGATAGGAAGTGTTTAATTTTCAAAAACGCAATTACTTATTGAAATTCACTCTTCACAGAAGACAAAGCTAAAGCAAGACACTGAATATTTCAAGGTTGCAAAACTAAATGTTATATTGCTATGGCAGAATCCTACTTCCCACATTTAAAACACAGGTAATAGATACCTGATTCAGTTTTCAGAAAGAAAATTATAGCTTTTTAAATTCAAAGGCCTGGTTTTCTTTCCATTTAGATTGCATTTTCCTGTTTCTCTATACCTGGAAAAAGGCTGTCCCTCATTTTGATAAAACTGTACAACTTCTGTCCTGAACCAACCGATGAAAGTAAGTGTAAGATTATACATATTTACTTCCGCAAAATACGCACCTTCTCCCCAACAATCAGCCCCCCAAAATTGGGGTGCCTGCCTTAAACATGAAGACTTTTTTTTCTTTGCTAGGATAGAAGCAAGCACAGAGACACTGCTGCAAGAAGGCTGCCATGCTTGTCTGTCTGCCAGCCTTCGGGAGGGAGGGAGTAGAGTTCACCCTTCAGGATCAGAGCTACAGTGTTAACCATCTAACAGCCAGAGCTGCAGCAGTCAGGATCCCTGCAGGAAGCATTCAGTATGATTGGAAAAATCTTTTCTTTTTCATTCTGCTCTCCCAAAACAAGGTGCAATATCTTATTTGGTGGGGGGGTATGTGAGAAAATATGGTAATACTTTGAGCCATATATCAAATGGCTTTGTTATTAGCTAGAGAAATATCTCAACTTAACAGCATAAGAAAATCAAATTACCCAGCCATATTGCACACATGCTTGTACAGTTCACAAAAACCTTCTAGAATTATGAAGGTTATGGGTGTACTAATGTTAACTGACATTTAGAGAGTTGATAATAGCAAAATAACAGGGGTCTACAGTGAGTTTTAAGAACTTTATATACCAGAAAGTTCAGGAAGCAGACTTATTCCACTGCATTAAAATAGTGTGTTTATCTACTGCAACTGTATTACTGTAATTGTTCTCAGCCCACACGCCATCAAATATGAATACCTCTCAGCGACCTACAAACGGATATCCTGGAGAGCATGCCTTCACTATACTGTTAGTTCACACACTAATTCAAGTTCTGACCCTAAACTGACTCTCATCCACACATTCTCTAGTCCAAGCTAAGTGGTGCTTGCAGTTTGAGCTAGATGCCTGTCAACATGGTGGGTAGATGGGCTGAAGCTGTAGCACTGTGAATGCTTGAACTAGTCATACAGTGGGAAGGCAACAGCTCATACTATGATAATTTATCAGCTGCTAAACCATTTGTTCTGCACAGCCAGTTCAGTGCAGCACTAGTCACATGCCACCGCTCAAGAGATATACAGCTTATTAATATAGGTCCAGCACCACACTATGTTATTCCCGCATTACACACAGAGAGGGCATGCATGTCTTACGGCAGTACTAATGCTGGAGTGCTCAACCCTTGGCCCACAGGGCTCTGCCAGCTGGCTCGCAGGGCTCCCTAAGGGTCCAGAAATTTGTCAGCAGGGGAGCAGTGGCAGCATTAACTTCCGCTCCCCTGCTGCCAATTTTCTGGACACATGGAGAGCCCCGTACATTGGACAAGGTGGCTGGTGCATGACCAGATCCAAGCACACAGGGTTGGGCTGGTGTGTGGCCAGATCCAGGCATGCAGTCAAGCTGGTATGCTGGATCATACCTACAAACTGAGCCCACATGGGATACAGCCCAGAGACCAACTCTGTGCCACTCATCCAGCTCCTGGAGCTGGAAGGTTGGATGCCATTTGTTTAACATCATATTAGGTCAATGTAGTCAAGCCCTTTGTCTTTCACTCTGGTTGGCCTTGCTCAAATTAGGCCATGGTAAGTAGAGTAAGTTAAATGTACTTACTCAAGTTAATTGTGGCAATGAGGAGAAGAATACAACAAGACTATGTTGTGGGGTTATTTTTTCTCCAGAAGTGGAGAAGCACTGTCAAAAAACGTATTATGCCAAAAGGATGGCTTTTTCTATGTGCTCATTTAGTAGTAAAGTAGTTCTAAACCTAGAAAATAAGTAGATTGGGACATCTATGAGCCAAAAAAAGTTCTACTGGATTACACAAAGGTTTACTAAGACATCACAAGTATATAATCATGAATCTACTTCTATTTTTAACCCCAAATTTTCAAGGCCATGGAACCCAACTATAAACTTTTCCACCAGATTGACTCTTAACATGTACATTTCAGCTAAGAAGCAAAAGTATTTAACTCTGTTCTGGGAAGCTACACATTTTAAGATTCCATGACTCAAAAAGTAAAAGCTTCAGTTTAAAAATGAAATGTATAGGTAGACTTAGATATTTAAGAAATAGTCTGCACTTGCTGATATCAGGCTGTCTGAACAATCTCCTTGACTCAATTTTTTCTTTTTGGAAGATTTACATATTGCCAATTTGGTACAGATGCCACATGCCGCACTGCTCATTTTAAGCATGTGTTGGAGGCCAATGACCCGATACACAAGAACATCTCCAAAGAAGCTGCTGCAGTTTACCATGCAGTAATCCAAGGATTAAAGGCATTAATAGCACGTAATGACATGATAGAGTGTAATAACTCCAAAGGAGCTGTTGTGTGTGTGTAAAGGGTACACGAAATGCAAGACCAACCAAACATGCCTGCACAGAAATCTTTTCTAAATTTTCTCTAAAAGAAAAGATCGAATACCCAACTGAACAAAACTGGTACAAAACAAAACAAACCCCAAAATGATATAAAGTATCCAAATATTGTCTTCAAAGTAACACTAACAGCACAACTGTCTTCAAGAGGGTTTTTGCTAGTGTTATTGAATTTGGCTCTATGAAACTAATATACATAAAGCAAACAAGCAAGGTGCAAATAAATAAATCACTGGCAAAGTTTACAAGTCAAAAACTGAAATATTTATCAGTCCCATCTTCAAGTATTTTCCTTAAACTGTTTTTTCCTTGTCAAATGCACTATTTCCAATGCTATGAACAGATCTATATACTTGAAAATTAAAAGGTTTTGACTCAGATTCCCATAAAACTATACATATCCTTCTCACCATCCAGAAGAATTATTTTTGTAATAATATTTCATAAAATGTTAAAAGTTATTAAAATTTGAGTAAAGATTTGAGGGCCTGTCAATCTTTATTAACAGATTGGGCTCTACTTCCAAGATCTCCACTCTGTTCTTACCTTACTTTGTTGTATATGCTATAAATATAGCAGTATGTATGACTAGCAGTGTTATGCTCTTATCCAAGATTCATAGGACAAAGAAAAGATACATCAGGGCAATTCACAATGGAATTTGTTTTGAGTCTGTGGAATCAAATTAAATCCTTCACATTAATTTACCATAATTTGTTTCATCATCCATCTCACAGTAACCTAAATTTTTAACATTTATTTTTAGTTTAATTGAAACAATACTTCGCAAAAAGTATGGTTTTGAACAGTTGTCAAACCAGATGCAAGTAATTGTGCATTGAATAGTTAGAAACAGCAAGACAAGATTTGAAATATCTAGTGCTTCTATAACATGTTTTAAAATGTGTTCACCATAAAATAAAAACAGGATTTGTTTTCAATATAAAAAGTATTACTTTTTTTTAATTATTATTTAGCATATGCAGTTTTCCTTCTTACCTTTAAGGAATCAAAGCAAGCAATAACTCTTCCATTTTCGACCTGGCAGCTTTTGGGGGGATGTGCAAATTTGCATTCTTCATCAGAACGTGAACAAGTTCCCCTCTGAAATTGTCTGCAAACTTCCAGTGTTAGCCATTTTGTATCTCTTACAGGAGCAACATTCAAAGCCATGATGAAAAACTGATTTAGATTTTGTAATTTACTGTTAAGTCAATTATGCCAAGCAAACTCCAATTCCAAAAATAACTGTTGAAGGACAGGTTTGGGGGTAGGGAGAAAAAACAAAACAAAACGCCTCCTAGCAGCAATGAAGAAATAAATTGCTTACTGGAGTCCAAAACGTGCAAAGCAGAATGAGCAAAGAATATTTATCAACAAGCAGTCACTCATTAATCAATATGTCCCATGTGTAGATTTTTGGCTGCAAAAAATTCATGCTCAGTGGTATCTCTGGCTGTAAAATGTGTAAGTCTCTTGGTTGTATGCTGACACAACTGTTTTAACTACAGTTACTTCAATGCAATGGCACTCCTCAATAGATTATTAATTCTTCGTAGGCTGGTTGCTGGTATTGATTACACAGGGAAAGCAATGTAGTCAGCTGTTCATGTCCTAGCAGTAATTTTTCTTCAGCTGTTTTAATGTTGAAGTCAGTTTCACATCAAAAATTGGCAAACAGAGAGTTGAGGTACCTTCTGCCACATATATGGTCAGGGCAACATCTAGCTGCCAGAGATAATATTTTGAAAACAGACAGGCGTAGCACTCTTCTTTCATAAAAGTGACTTCACAAAGGCACTTTTTAATCATTGACCTGACAAAACAAATAAAATATCAGTTTATTTTCAATTTTATTTGAATCAACAATGTACAAACCCATCATCACTTTTTACCTGAAAATTGTGCCACAAAAAGTAAATTTGTGCAGGCTAAAATTTAAAAAAATCCTCCATTGTTAAGTTATGCTTAACAAGGGACTAACCAATTGAAACACGTATTGCAGCAATATTCTAGGCAGCCAGCCAGAAGTTGGGAATGACTCAAATAGATGAACGTGGTAGACGCATTAATTAGGCATGCTGGTTGTGAAACAATTCAATCAAATGTGCTTAGTCCCCAAAACAATATATTAGAACCATAGTTTCAATTAATTTATCACGCATCTTTAGATTGCATCATTTGTTATAAAAAGTTGCTTATTTGCTTAGTAGTTTAAAAAATAGAGATGTTAGAATTTTATACATCTCATCTCTGAAAGAGGTTGTTATCTTAATATTAGGAAGAAGCCACTGTAACGAAAAGGGCAATCAATGTTAATTGATTTTTTTTTGTAAACTGCAGATCATTTCTAAAAGACTTCATATAAGGTTAGAATGGCCTTCTTCTAAATCACAGTTCTCCAACAAATTATCTTTATTGTAAAACTACTATCTTTATGGGAATGGTTCTTTCATTAAAATGGAACATGCTCCAATTTTTTAAAACAAAAATATGTATTTGAAAGTCAAAGACCTCAACAAATATTTATCATAATAAATTACTACAGAAATTAAACAGTTTACGTAACAATTTTTATCTGGAGATAAGGTAATTTCTGATCTTATTTTGCATTAAGTAGTTATATGCAAAAGTAGCTATATGCAGATTCTAGTCAGAGCAAATTACTGTATTATTTTAAAAAGAAAAAAAATACAGAAATGCATGAATCTTCAAAACACATCGATAGAAAAGCTCAGAATCTCTCTAAAGCAGTGTCAGTTTTCCTATGCCAGGATAAATAAATTTCTTGCGCTTGGGTTCATCCAGTTCAACCAAAATCAATGTGGTAACTTAAGAAAGAATTACTCACAGAGAAGTGCGGGATCAGGGCCTAAATTTGACTTCTGGGTTCCCATAGTAAAATGATTTTGTATTATTTGGTAATGGAATCAATACAAAGAAGTTCAACATGACTGATACTTGCAACAAGTTCAGATCTACTGCTACCAACATTAATCAGACTAATATCCGACTGACTCAGCTCAAAACTATTTCAAACGAAACATGCTATGAGAGATTACTGAGTAAAATTTAACTAGGACAACTTAGTCGTTAAGTTGCCCTAGTTACATTACTCAAAGTATACAGTGTTTTATTTCAGTAATTTGAAATACAGTACAGATTTGTAATAGAGCATATTATGGGAACTACATTTTTTTTGTTCATTCCATCTGTGTAAGCTATTGTCTTGTACAGAATCAAAAAGAGGTTGGATATGCTCAAAACCTATTAAAAAAAAAGGGATTAAGTCTGGAGAAAGATTTCCAACTTCCTTCAGAGTAGATTGTTTAATAGACTAAAACATAATGTAGGAGATATGTATCCTCTCCGAAGCAGCCGTTCAAATCCAGACAAGGCTTGTAAAGGTTTTCATCTTCAAAGATTTGTAGATGCATTGATTTCTAGTCAGATATATTGAGTTCCACTCAGTTTAGGTAATAATACCATTTAGGGAGAGACTGATCAAACAGCATTATTTGGGGGCAGCAGGAAAAAGGTGAAGTAGCTTTGGAAAGGAAGAGTTAAGTGGGGACAAGCAGTGAGCAGAGACTGTGGAGGATGGATGGGTGAGGGGATTTGTGAGGTGGAGTGAGATTTGGAGAAAAGGTAGAAGCTAGTGCTTTGGGAGAATAGGGAAAGGGAGCAAGAGAATTTTGGAAGAAAAGGAGAACAGAAGAAGACTTAAAGGAAAGAGAAAAGTCCAGGTGTTTTGACAGAGAGGTTAAAAAAAGGGTGGTGGGGGGTAGGGAGAAACAAGAGCTATTTGGAGGCAAATTAAGACACAGAGGCAGCAATTCACAGATGTGCTACAGCCACAAGATCTCACATATTCAGTGTACTCCTCCCCAGCACATGCAGAACAACCTCCTAAGGAGCTCCAAGTACAACAGGCTCAGTGCCCTATTTCCTGACCTTTGGTTTAAGCCACTGATGCTGAACCTTCTTCCCTGGTGGGCTGGATGGGCGGTACCCAATTGGTCCATGGGCTGGATGTGGCTGGTGGCCCCAATCCAGTGCCTGGAACAGGCACAGGGGACACTGTCGGCTGTACAAAGGGGAATGGGGGGGCAGTCTGACTTCAAATAAGCTCTATGGGGGGTGGGGAGAAGGGAGTGTGGATATGGCCCCACCAGGGAGGTAAGGAGGCACAGCTCAGCCCCTACCCAGTTTGGGGGGAGGGAGTAGTGGTGGTGGAGGGAGCATGGCCCAGCTCCAACCAGTCATGTGGGCCTTGGGGTTTGGGAATTTGGCAGGGGCAAGGGTGGCTGTATTAATTGCCACTGCTCCCCCACTGCCAAATTTTCTGACCAGTAGGGAGTCCCACAGGGAAGATGCAATGGCTCTATGGACTGCATCTGGCCCAAGAACAAGCGGTTGAACACCCCTGGTTTAAGCAGATGTTTTCTTCTCCCATCTTGCCTAGTTCTACACTGTGCCTCACAGATCTCAATGCAGGTTTCAAAAGGATAGTCAGAGTCTAATGACGAAAAAGTTTGGAAAGGTATCTTGCCAAGCATTTTTCTGCTATATGTGTCAGACTGTTTTTAAGCATTCCCAGAGGCACTGGATGTTGGCTACAGCCTAGGCTGGGGACTTCAGCTAGGGTGTGCTGATTCTCCAGCAAAGCCAGAGGTTCCAGGCAAGAGGGTTTTACCCACCTGCTCAGGGTCAGATTGACTGCAATACTTGGAGTCAGGAAGGAATTTTACCCCATGCTCAGATTTATATGAACTGTAGGGGTTTTTGCCTTCCTCTGCAGCAGGGGGTGTAGCCCTCTACCTGGGATCTCTTGAGTATATACTGACAACATTTTATAGAAACAGAACACAGGCTGCCATGGTTCCCCTGCTTTATCTGTGGCAGGGCAGGTCAGAGTGTCATGTTTATGTTGCATCAGGGTTGATGGTGTTCTTATGTAGATTTTAAATTATGGTAGTATGGAATAGTTTGGACAGGGATGATCCTACCTTAGATAACCAGATGACTTCTGGAGGTCCACTCCAGCCCTGCTTCTCCATGACTACGATCAATGAAATCCCTCCTGGCGTGGGGAACTGTCATTCTAGTTACAGTCCCAACCCATATATAAAATATGGGCTCCTTTGGCCTTGTAACTTGGCTGTCTCACAGTGACAATACTGTGAAATGAAAAGTTTCAGTTATGTTGTACTTGTGCTTAGTAGGGTAATGATCATGTTCTGTAGGCCTAGATATGGGCAATGGCCCCAGTCCTGCAAATTGATATGATCAGGTGTTGATTCCTTGCACAGGAACATGTATATAGCTTACAGCCCCAGCATAAATTGTTAGTCAAAGGACCCGTTTCAAAAGCTGAAACAATTTTCCAGTTAAATTTAAGAACAAAGCCCAGAAACGAGCTAACAGAAATGATTAGCTATTACTAGACAATATATTAGATATTAGTGTTATAATCGAACCTAAAACAATCAGTACGGCATGTCAGATCTAGGGTCCGTTTCATTAAGTCATTCAACATAGTGCAAAGAACTGGAGAGATTCAAGTCTTAAATCAAATGCCATCAATTAAAAAGAGTTAATGAATTGCTGATTGTGTCTATTAGCATACTTTTTACACTAGAAAGAAAGATCTGTTCCAAATAAAAAACCCTACAGATTCACTTCTTATTCACATTTATTACAATATCACCAAGGCCAAATTATGCTTGTAATCCCACCTTCCCAGGTGGTCAAGGAATATATTCCATACAAGAAATTATGTTAAAAAACTTTTAAGGTGGCAAAGTCAAATATTCAAAGTTATGAAATGCTGCCTTATGCCTTTGTATTATATGATACATTTTAATTACACAGTCATAGATGTTCCCTTGTAGGCCTACTAAATGTTTGACAATGCAATTTCAGCATTCCTTTAACATAAATTTTTCATGTAATTTTCTAAGTTTTCAAAAAGGAAAGCAAAAAAGAATTCCTTCATGTGGGTCCATACTGATTCCCAGATGCATTATAATACAGTTGAAACTTTTGCCAGATCACAGCATTATAATAGTTGAAGATTTTGCCAGTAGTAGTGGTTATACTCTGCATGTAATAAACCTGTTCCACCTTCCTTTCCGCATCAGGATACTAGGCAAGATGGACCTATGGTCTGACCCAGTTCTTATAGTCTTAGAGAATGAGATGCACAATTTATCAGTGGATTTCACAGCCATTTACTAGTGAAATTTAGTGGACTGAAATACACAAAGGATATCAGATTAAATAATCTAATGGTCCCTCCTGGTATTGAACTCCTTGAATTTAGATAGCCAAGCAATGCTGGGACTCAAAGATACTGTGTGCAGCATAAAGATCTGTAAGGACTATTGCTACACACACCTAGCATGAAAATTTTGACCTGAGTAATTAAACAAAGTTATACACAACTGAAAATAGGGTCTTGTAATGGAAAATATTAGATAATGCTCAGTATAGTATAACAGCCAAAACTGTCTAAAAGCAGACCTGACATTTCTACTTTAAAAGGTCCTAGGTTGTATTAAGTCTTGATGTTCAGTGAACTGCAGGGATTTGATCAGGAAAGGGTATACATTTAAATTAACTGTTCCCTTCAATGTACAGTTACCTCCAATTTGCTAAACAAGTGGCCTTTCTAGGGATAAGCATTCTAGGTAACATTTACAGCTCTATGGATGGCTCTCCAACCTACTGCACAATAGTCTAAACACTGGGAAATCTGATGCCATGCAATCCTTCCCAAATACTTTTATTATTATTACTAGGTTTTTTCTTTAA